GAGGGCGCCCCTGCCGCTGCGGAAGCCACTGCTGAAAAGGCCGCTGCTGCTGTCCCTGCTGCTGGAGAACCCTAGTGGACTCCATGATAAAAGCTAGCGGGGTGCAGGAGCGGCAGGCTAGGAGCGACAGGCTGCTGTGAAAAACGAGAACAACTAGGAGCGCAAGGTGAAACCAGGCGAGTAACTGCTGGAGCACGGAGCGAACTAAGCTAGGAGCGCCAGGTGAAACCAGGCGAGTAACTGCTGGAGCACGGAGCGAACTAAGCTAGGAGCGCCAGGTGAAACTAGGCGAGGAACGGCTGGAGCACGGAGCAAACTGAGCTAGAAGCGCCAGGTGAAACCAGGCGAGTAACTGCTGGAGCACGGAGCTAGTAGCTAGAAGCTAGCGGGGTGCAGGAGCGGCAGGCTAGGAGCGACAGGCTGCTGTGAAAAACGAGAACAACTAGGAGCGCAAGGTGAAACCAGGCGAGTAACTGCTGGAGCACGGAGCGAACTAAGCTAGGAGCGCCAGGTGAAACCAGGCGAGTAACTGCTGGAGCACGGAGCGAACTAAGCTAGGAGCGCCAGGTGAAACTAGGCGAGGAACGGCCGGAGCACGGAGCAAACTGAGCTACGAGCGAGGAGCGAGAACGGCTGGAGCGAGAACGGCTGGAGCTAGAAGCGGCGAGCTAGGGCTGGCTGGAGGTAGGAACGGCCGGGGCTAGAGACCGTAAGTGCGGCTGTCGGCTGCCGCTAGTAGAGCCACTGGCAGTGGAAAGTACGTGCGACAGTAGGGGCTGCAGTACTGACGGCTGCGGGATGTAGGCAACTGTGCAGGTCGTCCGGCAAGCAGGAACGCGGGCGACAGTCGCAGGCCCCCACTGTGAACCCCCTTTTTTTTTGTTTTTTTTTTTAAGGGTTTAATTTATTTATTTATTTTCTGGCACTAAAGCACCCCGGGGCGCGCTGCCTGCAGGGTGTGCTGTCTGCGGGGCGCGCTACCCGCGGGGCGCGCTACCCGCGTGGCGCGCTGCCTGCGGGGCTGGGGTGACGAGCCAGGGAGGGCGCCTGGGCGACGGGCTAGGACGGGCGCCTGGGCGACGGGCTAGGACGGGCGCCTGGGCGATGGGCTAGGGCGCAGGCCTGGGCGACGGGCTAGGACGGGCGCCTGGGCGACGGGCTAGGGCGCAGGCCTGGGCGACGGGCTAGGGCGGGCGCCTGGGCGACGGGCTAGGGCGGGCGCCTGGGCGACGGGCTGGGGCGGGCGCCTGGGCGACGGGCTGGGGCGGGCGCCTGGGCGACGGGCTGGGGCGGGCGCCTGGGCGACGGGCTGGGGCGGGCGCCTGGGCGACGGGCTGGGGCGGGCGCCTGGGCGACGGGCTGGGGCGGGCGCCTGGGCGACGGGCTGGGGCGGGCGCCTGGGCGACGGGCTGGGGCGGGCGCCTGGGCGACGGGCTGGGGCGGGCGCCTGGGCGACGGGCTGGGGCGGGCGCCTGGGCGACGGGCTAGGGCGGGCGCCTGGGCGACGGGCTAGGGCGTGGGCCTGGGCGACGGGCTAGGGGCGCAGGCTAGGGGCGCGGAGGGCGCTAACGCGCGGAGGAGGAGGGCGCTAAGGCGCGGAGATGGCGCGGAGGGCGCGGTGGCTAAGGCGCGGAGGGCGCGGAGGGTGCTAGGGCGCAAGGGCGCGGAGGGCGCGGAGTGTGCTAGGGCGCAAGGGCGCGGAGGGTGCTAGGGCGCGAGCTAGGCTAGGCTAGGCGAGAGGATCGACACCTACTCTGATACCATCTCAAAGTTAGCGAACAACGGAATGATTGGAATAGAAACGAATGGGGTACAAATGAGCAACCCTAGAAGCTGTACCTCCTAGAGTGCAACTCACTATAGCCTATCATATCAATGTTCAACATTTGACATATTACTTTCTGTTCAGTCAATCCCCATAAATCGCAGTTTAATCACTCACTGGCGAGGTGTGATCGGTGATCACCGCAGAAATCCCGACAGGTGTCAGCTTTTAAATGGCGACTTGCAAACTTCAGCAGAGGGTCCGATAGTGCTGGCGAGCTCCGAGGCAGTCGTTGGAATTGCTAACGTGTTCCAATTCCAACTCAGCTCGCCACACTATTCCACGTAGGGCGTTCCACTCGTTCGTGGCGTTACTGTTCAAGTTTCCCATGGTGAAGCTGATTGTGGGCAATGCACCAATGGTAGTTTTCGACACCTCTGCAGCAATCTGGCAGTGGGTGGCGCTGGAGCAGTGACAACATATGCCGTATCCTCGCATTCCCTCCATTCTATCTCACGCTTGTTCCAGTTTCTGTAGTTCCTGTTCTTCCCCCTACAATCTGCGAGTTTTCGTTCCAATTAGTCTTCTTTGCGTCCTTAAAGCCCGCGTCCCAAATTGCGGACCGCGAGGGTCAAGTTTTTAAAACTTGACGAAGTTGAGTGTCCAAGCTTTTGAAAGTCACGCACCTGCAATTTGGGACTTTTGAAGACAGATTCACTCACCAGGGGGAAAACCGAGGGTTGGCTGGGTCTCGCGAAAAAAACGAACCTAGACGAAATTGCGAACTCTCGCCAAAGCCTACACCAGAAAAACTCCCTCTGGTCAACTTTTAAAAGCATAAACAATTTGGGCCGCCGGCTTTAAGGGGTGTTCAAAGTGCTGCACATTTCCGACGTCAAGGTTCGTCGAGGTTGTTGGAGAAGGTAGGTGAGTTGAAGGGTGCCGAATCGGTGTTCAAAGTACGCTTCAAAAATTGCTGACGCCAGCATCGCTTCTTGTACGGAATTCAACGCATCTGTACAGTGATGAACCGACCACATCAGACAGAATAACAGTCTGGCGGGAATTGCATGTTCGAAATTGACGAAGCTGTAAAATTCGCTGTGCGTTTTTCGCAGCCATTAGACGCTCTGTCTTTGCATACGAAATAAGCCATGCGATTAACGAAATTCGCTTGAATTCAATTGTTCTACTATTTAGGCCGGCATTTGTCCTGAGTGAAAGTTCGTCGCCGGCATTGTGTTCAAAGTGCCGCTCTCGACGTCAATCGACGTCGAGCTCGACGTCGGCCGACGTCAAGCCTCCGACGTCAAAGACTGTAGATTATTACTTTGTACACGCCTTTAGATGACGGTTCTGAAGTTCGCCCGCCATAGAAGTATGGACAAGTGTAGACGAAAGTACACGTCTGATTGGCTTCCATGCTCCAAGATATCTGGAAACTTGTGTGATGACCAATGATCGGGTGTGTTTACACGTCACCGGATGGCGGCCGGACAAGTCTGGAACCGTGACCTTAGTCTCAAATTTCTATCTTGGATGTTTTCCTTAGCACCCTAGCTACCTACTACTTCGTCCAGCACCTTCATTAAGAGTCGAAGAAGCACCTTTTCCTTTCGCTGCGCTATCGCTTCCTTTTGTTTTCGAGATTGTAACAAGAATTAACCTCGATTTTTATTCCTCTGTTTTGCAACACGTACTTACGATACAAAGAAGGGAATTTGCCAACGAAGTAATCACCTTCGCTATCGCCCTGTTTCGTCAGGTCTTTAGTATGTAGCAGAACTTACGTCTGAAGTTTGTATGTTTTCAGATCGACATTTCCTGGTTAGCTTTGCGTCGAAGTCCTTATCGACATGTGTCGCCGTGGTGTCTCCCGGTACCAAAAACATGGACATGCTTTTTTGAATAACTTTCAGATGCAAAGCCAGGTATGTTATCCACCCAATCTGCAAGCTCTGTTGGGTTTTAATATTATTTTTTCCACGACTAATCTCTGCTAGCGGCCCTTTGTTGAGCGTTGTTGCATCCCAGGGATGGTACTATCTCATGCATACTATCCCTAAACTTCATTGGAACCTTGACGTGTTCTTATGGTGTTGATGAGATTTATGTTGGCAGTATAATTTCAGAGCAGTATAATTTCAGCAAGAACACAAAATGATTTTTGCAGCTCATAGTAATTGTAATATTGATACTTTCACTGTTGGGACTGAATTTCTCGTCTGCATCATTGGAAATTGTGATAATTGGAAGATCAAGTCTGCGTCACTGTAGAAATTGTGCATAACCTTTGGAAGTTGGAATTGGATGTAGGTTTACCGAATTTGCAGAGAACATTTATTCTGCTGGACGTAAATGATGTTTCCTACGTAATTTGTTGTTCACCTGTGTAGTCACAGGTGTAGATTTCTACTATTACGAAATGATGATTTCTGAGCCTCCGAAGCGCATTGCCGTGCCACCGAGGGATTCCCTGAAGGATTGCCCGCAGGTGTTCCCGTCGTGGATTCCTTGAGCCTGGTTTTCGGGCTCATTTTCGCTCCTAAGTCCTGAACTCTCGCTGGACCTTCTGAGCCTTCGAAGCGCATTCTCGATGTCCTGAGCGAGGTCCTGGACGATTCCCGAGGGATTTGCTGGAGGATTGGCCGCAGGTGTTCCGTCGTAGATTCCTTGAGCCTGGTTTTTAGGCTTTCGCTGCTGAATTTTGAACTCTCGCTGGAAACTAGCTGAAAGCCAAGCCTGAAGTAGAGCTGCAGCTCCAAGATAGAAGATAGAGTTTCCTCTGGAGTCAGGGACCAGACTCGCGACACCTTAACTGCGATCTAAGATGGATGCCGCGAAGCATGGCGGGAAAACGACCATTGCAGAGAAGTGCGTGGAGGTTTATCAACTTCGCACTCGCTGGCCAACGCTCCTGTTAATTTCCTTTCTCTCTGATTGATTTTGCAGTTCCGTCAGACTTTCAGACTTATTGTTCTACTCATCGTACTCGTCTTTTGCGCCTGCTCGTCTGTCCGTGCCCACCTGTCTGCCTCTCTCTCCCTCACCCGTCAGGCCGGCCGCGGGGAGTAGCCTCGCGAAATTCCCCATCAGCGAGCTGTACATCGTAGAGCGTTACCTCGAGGCGGTTCAGAGACAGCCCGTCGTCGCCAGTAGCAGCCTCCTGGACCGGCAACACCATGCTGGAGCTCCTGGCGCGCACGACGGCTCAGACCAGACGAATTTGGAAGTCATGCTCAGCTTCCAGAGGGTAGGATCCGGGGCTACAGGGTGGTATAAACTCTTATTTATTTATTTATTTATTTTCTTTTGCCAAGTTGCTCCACTGAAGTTGCTGCGTGGGCGTGTTCGTTCACATACGAGCAGTGATCTAGTCACACACGCACATGCACTGTGCACACACAGACATACACAGTGCACACACACACGCATGCGCTGTGCACACACACACACATGCACAGTGCACACACACATGCCCAGTGCACACACACACACAAGCTTGCTCCCCATACTAACGGTCTCGAGCACTTTCAACGAAATCGTCTGTGTAGCATTCTGTGCATCCCATTGGTGTCCTTCCTGCGCCTCCCATTGGTCCCCTTCCCGCAGGACCCCATCCCGACCTCGCTCACGCGGCTCCCCACGGCCCTGCAGAAGAAAGCTGTGGGAATGTTCCAGGAGATTCTACACTACATGGGGCTCAAGGGCGCGCCTGTCACCCACGAACGTGCGCTGGCGCAGACAGTGGTTCGCATCCTCAAGTTGGTCCTTGGGAAGCCAGAGATGCGGGAGGAGTTGTACGCGCAGCTGCATAAGCAAACGCGGAATAACCACGACAAGGACGCGTGCTTGAGGGCGTGGGAGGTGATGCATCTGTGCGCGTCGGTGGCGCCGCCGGGGGAGCAGCTCGGGAAGCCTATTACCGACTACGTGCATGAGGTTGCGAACGATGCAGCGGTGGACGCGGAGGTGATGTCCCAGGCACTTGCCACGTGGCACGCGCTCAACAAGGCGATGAAGGTCGGGGCGAGGAAGAGGGTTCCGACCGTTGATGAGCTGCTCGCGCTGAAGACTGGACGAGCGCTGATGAAGGTCAAGACGAAGGTGTTCTTTGAGGACGATACATTCGAGGAGGTGGAGTACGACGCATCCACAACCACTGCAGAGATCTTCGAGGTGTGTGTGGTAGAGGAATGGGGAAAGGACGGAGGTAGAGAGTGGAGTCGGATCGATAAATGGGTAGAGGAATCGGATCGAGGACATGAGGAGAGTGTGGCACGGAGTGGGGCAGCCCCGCGTGTTGAGGCTGAACCTGCTGGGTGGTAAGCTTGGGTTAGTGCTTGCTACCAAGCCCCACCATCTCCCTCACCCTTCCTTTCATCTCCCTTCCTCTCCGCTATATCATCGCCCCTCTTCCCTGCTGCATCCCCACATCTCAGCAGGCCATGGGAAGTTAGAAACCTTGGGGATGCTTGGGGTGTTGCTGTTAATATGCACAGTCACGTTTCACCTCGTCGCCCCCCATTCATCTCCCCGCCTCTTCTGTTTCTCATCTCCCTTCCTCTCCGCTATATCATCGCCCCTCTTCCCTGCTGCATCCCCACGTCTCAGCAGGCCATGGGAAGTTTGACACCTTGGGGGTGTCTCTCCTTTCTAATTCCCTCCATGTAACTCACATGCCCTGTGTGACCGTGATTGCTACTGTCATGCTGGTTGCAGAGCATTGTGAGCAGCATTCGGTTAGGGGAGTTTCATACGTTCGGTCTGTTCAAGCACCGAAAAGACATCCCGCTAACCAACGACAATCCCGACAGCACGTCCAGTGAGTTCAGACATACTGCTGGTTCAGGCTATGACAGAGCTGTTACAGATGAGTAATTTATGCATTCTGTGGTTACATTTATGTATTCTGTGGTTACATGTGAAGCAAATATTTGTACTTTGGCGTATACAATGTTGGTGACTGAACACGATCTGTGATGGTTTCAAGTTCCAAGCTGGTTGTGGTTGAAGTAACTTGGGGTTGCCCTTTGGCTAAATGTTCTTTCACTGGACGATGCATTTATGCGTCCGTTCACAATTGCAATCACATCGTTGATATTTATTCGTTGTTTCTTTCTTGAGCAGACGACTACGTGAGCATTGATGAGAACTCTTATATGGGGGACGTTGTGGCTGAGATGAGGAGCTTCGGCGAGACGAGAGAGCGACAAGTGGAGCTGCGCCTGATGTTCCGCAAGAAGATTTTCCGGGACAACGAGAAGGCAATAACGGATCCGGTTTTCATCCTGCTCTCGTATCTGCAAGTGATGCATGACTACGGAGAGGGCAACTACCCCATGCCCCCGGATGACGTGGCGCAGCTCACAGCGTTCCAGCTCATTGCGGACTTTGATGTGCTGCCCGAGCCTGAAGCGACGCTGTAAGTTCAGTTACATTAGTCTGCTGCATTGGGTGTGTGGGGGAATGGAGGGGAAAGGGGGAAAGGTCAGTGGGGGTGAGTTCGTGAAGCGCCTTGCCCAGGTTTCCCTCATTTCGAACGGTCCTTCATATATGGCAGGGGTTATGCACATGCACATAGGGAACCCGCTGCTGGGTACCAGTAAGTATGGCAAGCAAACAAACACGCACTGACACTCAGCCTATTCTACCTTGTCCTGACCCACTGGGGCTCGTCCACGGGTTCCAGCACGGCCAAACAGTCCCCAGGGGACAGGGGAGGTGGGTGGCCGTCCAGGCGAAAAACCCACCTCCACGTGTGTGGACCTCCGAGAGGTGGGTTTTCCGTCTGGGCGGCAATGTTGGACTGCACGAGGAAGCAAACTAACGCCACTCAGGACTCCAAGTGAGTGGGCTGGCCTGGATTGTCGATTCTGTTATCAAGTCATGAGTCGTCATGAATCCACTGGGCCTGGATGGGTTCACTAACGCCACTCAGGACCCCATCACTGCCGAGTGGGCTGGGATTGATTGCCGATTCTGTTATCAAGTCATGAGGTGAGGAACTCAGACATCTCTCGCTCAATTACACCTTCCCTCCCTCCCTCCCTCCCTCCCTCCGTCCGTCCGTCCGTCCGTCCGTCCCTCCCTCCCTCCCTCCCTCCCTCCCTCCCTCCCTCCCTCCCCCTCCCTTCCTCCCTCCCTCCCTCCCTCCCTCCCTGTCTGTCTCCAAATCTACCCTCGTTCTTTTTGTCCCAGGAACTGGCAAGCGGAGGTGCAGAAACGGATCCCAGTGCAGCTCCAGTCTCTGAGGGAGAAGCCACAGTGGGCGATGGACGTCCTCACTCGCTACAAAGAGCTGGTGAGACTCCACCCTGTTATAGGAGCTGCTGTGTATTAACGGGGTGCTGCTGCTGGCACTAACCAAGGCCAGCCCAAGCAAGGCTGTTCCCTGTCTGGGGTAGCCAAGACTGCTCCAAGCAAGACTGCATCAGGCAAGTAGTCTGCGAATATTTTACCTCTGACTGCTGGTGGTACTACAAAGCCGTCCTGGGGTGCTTTCTGGCATCTTTTGATGGCGTCAGGGCGAAGCCTCAAGGGATGGAATGGGGCCGTAACGACAGCAAGGGAGATTGACACTAATGACGGTGATTCTAGAGGGTATGAGTCAGGGAGGCTGAGTGGCGCTGCTTGTGGTGGCAGTTCGTCAGGGGGCATGAGGCGTGGCGTGGTGTGGGTATGAGACATGGATCTGTATCTGAAGCTTTTGGTGTACCTTGCGTTGCTGACTTGTTGCAAAGCTCTCGTAATATTGCCTTTTGTTTGTTTTTTTCCTGTTTTCTGAGTCACAATTTTGCCCCTTTTCTCCGTCCTCACGCTTTCACCATTTCGCCCCATTCCCCCACTCCTTTCCTGTGTTGCAGCCAAAACTGACGCCTGAAGGGGCGAAGCAGCAATCCCTGACGATAATTCGAGCCCTTCCCTACGGCTTGTCCTCCTTCTACCACGTGAGGCGCATCCAAGATCCCACTGGACTGCTGCCGGAGCGAGTGCTGATCGGCATCAACAAGTGCGGGGTAAGCTGCCCCACTCTACCCTGATGTGGTTCTTGTTTCTGTTCCTCCCTCCCCCACACGCACTCCTGTCTTCATCACCTTGCTGCCCCCTCCACCCACACACTCCCCCTTCACAGGTGCATTACTTCCGCCCGGTCCCAAGGGAGTACCTGCATTCAGCAGAGCTGCGCGACATCAAGCAGTATGGCAGCAACCCCGCCGCCGTGTTCCTCAAGGTGCGCGTCGTGAGCTCGCTGCACGTCGTCCAGTTCGAGACCTCCCAAGGCGAGGAGATCTGCCATGCCATCGAGACGCACACCAACGACGCCCTGGCCCGCCGCTCCGCCAGGGAAAGTGCGCTCCAGCACAACGCGCCGACGCTGGGTTCGGGGCCTGCTGGGGGTGGGGCGGCTGGGGATGGGGGTTCGGGGGGAGGAGGAGGAGGTGGGGTGTTGGGGGAGGGGCATGGGCAGGGGCCGCACCCGATAACGGATGACGAGCATCGGACAGAGGAGTTGTCGGAGAGCTTGGCAAGGGCCGTCATGCACATTGAACAGGTAGAGTGACTCGTCTGTCTGCCTTGTTGTGTGTCTTCCAGCGTTTTCCCGTAGCAGCTGCCTCTCTCCATGCTTATTTGCCAGCTTCTCTCAGCGTAGCCGCCTGTTTATATTTTTCCCCTTATCGAGCCAGGAAGAATGTGTATCTTGCCTTTATGTACGCTCCTATTCTCCTCCTCTCTCGTATGTCGTGATACGCTGGTGTTTTCTTGCAGCTTTTTCTATCGGCAGGATGGAGGTCAATCGCATTTCATTGGATGCGCTTCTTAACCCCTTTATCTCCCGTTTGTCTTGGTTTACCTGTTCCCGCCATCCTTCTTACCCCCCCCCCCACCCAGTTGAACTGAGAGGTGACAGCGCGGGCAGCATCAGAGGCGAAGCTGCAGCGCGAGCTGTAGGCAGGGAAGGCTTTTGAGGCGTCTCAAAGATCTTCTCCTTTCCCCTGTGTGCTGGCACGCCTGTTCCCGCCATCCCCCTTCACCCACCAGTTGAACCAAGAAGTGGCAGCGCGGGCAGCATCAGAGGCGCAGCTTCAGGTCGAGCTGCAGGCGGCGAAGGAGGCGCTGAGGCAGCAAGAGATGGCGACCGAGGAGGCGGTGGAGAAGCGAGACAGGCTGGCCGAGAAGCTACGGGTGAGAGGGACAGGGAAGGCGTAGGTGTATGGGGATTTCTGGGCAGCT